ACAAGAACTAACACTAGACCTAGAACTAGAATCTTTCGGGTTAAGCCGTGTGTTTTTTGAAAAAATGAAGAAGAGCACTACGAAAGATAAGGGAAAAACCAGACATTATCATCCTACCAGCGGACAAGGGGAATGCGACCGTGGTTATGGACAGAAAGGAATACGACGAGAAGATCAAGAGCCTTTTGGACCCAGCCACCTATAAGAAAATAAAAAAGGACCCAACCGAGAAGATAGTAAGGAAGATGAAAGAACTGGTAAAATCGACAGAAATCCCAGCAGATCAACAGAAAAGCTTATTCGTACAGGCTCCAGTACCACCAACGATATATGCATTACCCAAAATCCATAAACCAGACGTCCCACTACTCCCTATTGTGAGTGCCATAAATTCTCCCACCTATCAACTAGCAAAACACCTTTTCAAGATTCTGTCTCCTTTTACAGGTAAAACAGAGTCATATGTCAGAGATTCCACACATTTTGTAGAATCAATTAGGAGTATGAAGCTAGACCCTCAGGATATGCTGGTAAGTTTTGACGTGGAATCTCTATTCACCAGAGTACCAGTCAAGGATGTCGTGGATGGGCTTCGCCAGAAACTCATCCCGGAGGGTTTGCCCAAGTATGTCCCAGGACTAGTGGAATACTGCCTATCGTTGACATATTTCCGCTGGAAGGGGGAATTCTACGAGCAATGCGAAGGAGCAGCCATGGGATCACCTCTGTCTCCTGTGATAGCCAATTTCTACATGGAGATGTTTGAAGAGGAAGCGCTAAAGAAGAGTCCTTGGAAACCGAAGCTATGGCTCCGTTACGTCGATGACACTTTCGTGATCTGGCAACATGGAAAAGAGCAACTAGACCACCTCAATTCACAGCACCCCATGATAAAATTTACCATGGAAACAGAAAATGCAAAACAGTTGCCATTCCTGGATGTGTAATTACTAGGAAGACGGATAGGGGCATGGAACTGGGAGTATATCGAAAGAAAACACATACGAATAGGTACCTGCAGGCTTCATCCCACCACCACCCACAACAGAAGAGGTCCGTGATTCAAGCCTTATTCCAGCGAACAGAGAGAATATGCGATAAGGAGAACCTAAGAAAAGAAGAAAGATTCCTAGAAGATGTGCTGCAGAAGAACGGTTACACGATGAGAGATATCCGACGATCCACCAAACCACACAAACAGAAGGATGACTCGGTAAGTACGACATCAGCCGGTTTTATCTGTCTTCCTTATGTTTCAGGTGTGACGGGGCGAATTGCGAGGCGTCTGAAGAAGGATGATATCGTGGTACGATACGGTACGGTCAGCAAAATACAAAACGTTCTTCCGATAGCCAAAGACAAACTACCGCCAATAAAGGGAGCGGGAGTCTACCGGCTATCTTGCAGTTGCGGGAAATATTACGTTGGCCATACTGGACGTAACATCGAGTGCCGCATCAAGGAACACGAAAGAGACGTCCGACTAAAGAAGATCCAACAATCTGCAGTCACAGAACATTGCCACAAAGGAGGGCACAGGCTGTGTGCCCTCCACAGCTAGGGTGTCCAGTCCCGGTATTAAGTCCCGGTTCCATCCCGGGATTTCTTGAAAAAAATGTAGGTCCGGTACCACTAAGAAGTCCCGGGATTATAAAAGTCCCGAAATTAAGAAAAAAATTTAAATATCGGAACGACTACAACTAACAGGTTACAACCTGTTAAAAATATTGACCTCGAGACTCCGACTAGCTAACGGGTGATCTAACGAAACGGTTCTCCGAGTTCGTAAAAAACCTAAATTGATAGGGGAATCACCGGCTAAAACGAGTTATGACTTGCAATATTTGTAGAATCGNTTACCATGGAAACAGAAAATGCAAAACAGTTGCCATTCCTGGATGTGTTAGTCACTAGGAAGACTGATAGGGGCATGGAACTGGGAGTATATCGAAAGAAGACACATACGAATAGGTACCTGCAGGCTTCATCCCACCACCAATCACAACAGAAGAGGTCCGTGATTCAAGCCTTATTCCAGCGAACAGAGAGGATATGAGATAAAGAGAACCTAAGAAAAGAAGAATTAAGAGAAGATGTGCTGCAAAAGAACTGCTACACGATCAGAGATATCCGACGATCCACCAAACCACACAAACAGAAGGATGACTCGGTAAGTACGACACCAGCCGGTTTTATCTGTCTTCCTTATGTTTAAGGTGTGACGGAGCGAATTGCGAGTCGTCTGAAGAAGAATGATATCGTGCTACGATATGGTACGGTCATCAAAATACAAAGCGCTCTTCCGATAACCAAAGACAAACTACCGCCATTAAAGGGAGCGGGAGTCTATCGGCTATCTTGCAGTTGCGGGAAATATTACGTTGGCCAAACTGGACGTAACATCGAGTGCCGCATCAAGGAACACGAAAGAGACGTCCGACTAAGGAAGATCCATCAATCTGCAGTCGCAGAGCATTGCCACAAAGGAGGACACAGCATAGTGTTCGAAAAAACCAAAGTGCTAGCAAGAAACCAAAGATTGACGAGAGAGGCGATAGAGATTCGTCAGCATGGGAATAACACAGCGTTTCTCAACCTTAGGGGGGCGTCATAATTCTACATGGGCGGCGCCAACACATCAAAATGAAAAAAAAAGATAATTACTAATAAACAATTAAAGCCATTCTGACATTCCAAAAATTTAAGTAAGTACAGTACACATTTAAACTAATACACTCGTACTACTACCTATGTATTTAATTACTATAAATATGATTGTATCAGTAGGTACTGTCAAATGCCAAATGAAACTAATAATAGACTCATCAGTACTAAATTAAAAGTAGCTGTAATGATTATAATTATTAGTGACTCCCTTGGGCCTGTCTCGCACAGCAAAGTTTTTCAAAAGAAGGTTTTATATTACAAATAGCCACTCTCAGTTCTTTGGTCTATATTCAGTCGAGTCCTATATTTTGTCTTTAAAGCAGCCACCGCAGAAAATCCGGCTTCACAAAGGTAGGATGTTGAAAATGGCAATAATATACGAAATGCTCTTGTTTTCAGTGGAGAAAATGCATCATCCACTCCCGCCCAAAATTCAAAGAGAGTTTTATTACTAAATTCTCTCTATTACTAAATTTCGCCCCTTGCAGTAAAGTGTATGAAGATTTCTTCTTCTGCAGTTGAGAGACCTTCGTGAGTAGTTCGAAATGGATCCCTAACCCACTCGTAACTTGCTACCAATTTGTCGTCAGCAAGAAAATACTTTTCAAAATTCTGTGCCAACATGGCTAAATGACTTTCTATTGTTACAAAAACAACTTTCACATACTGTTCTTCTTCCTTGTATGTTTTGACACACTCATTCACATTTGCAAACATTTCTAGTTTTTTTTGTTTTACATTTCTGCTCCACAGCTCCAAATTTCTACAGAAAGTACTAACTTTATCACTGCTATCCAACATATGTGTGTTTGCTCCTTGGAGTTGTAGATTCAGGGTATTTAATTTCTCGAATATATAACCAATTTCATCACAAATAAAGCATCTCGAAACTTTTTGGCTTCCAGGCGGTTTTCCTCTTCTAGAAAAGTGGCAATTTCCTCTTTTAACTCATAAACACGTTGTAGAAATTTCCCACTCGATGGCCTCACAATAAAATAGCAACGTCAAATG